GATAAATTAATATAAATAACACAAAAGTTAACAAACTGTTTTGATAAATTAATACAAAAAAATACAAAAAGTTAACAAAATGTTTTTATGAAGTAATATAAAAAAGTGATTTCCTAAGTTTGATAAAATAAATATAAAAAACTGATTTTATAAGTGTAATATAAAAATTGATTTTATAATAAAATTATACTGCTTTTCAAAAAACTAAATTTTTTTAGAAACTGTATATTTAATTTAACGTTTTTCGAAATTATTAAACTGTTTAATTAATACAGTTGTTATTTACAACAAATATAAAAAGTTAATATAAGAACTTAATAAATTGTTTTTATAAAATGTACACTACATTGATAAACACTGATACAAAAATAATAATACATAAACACACAAAAATTTAATAAACCGAGCAAAATGAGAAGTACAACAAACTGTTTTATTAAAAATTATAAACTATTAAAATGCCATTTATGAGCAAAATGATAATATAATTCAAATTTCAAAATATATACTATTTTTTACTAGTACAAAAACTGTTTTTTTCTAAAATAAAAATAAAAATAATACAAAAAATTAATAAACAGTTTTTACTAAAATAAACTATGTAAACTGCAATTAATACAAAAATGTATTTTTCAAAGTTATAAAAAAAAATTAAAAATTTTATACCCCTCATATTAAACTCATACACAGTTTAATACTACCTTCGTCCCATAATTTACTTCAAAAATAAAGTGGCACATGGATTAAGAAAGTGGGAATTGTGTGATTGAGAGTTGTGCAGAGGAGAGAGAAATGCTGTGAACCACACATTCTTTGCCAAAAAGGAAAGAGAAGTTCTCTTTGGGACGGACGAAAAGAGAAAGTTGGAAGTATTTTCAGGGACGGAGAGAGTATGTTATATTTTTTCCAAAAATAAACTGTTTTAGTAAAACTTGTAAATGATATAATGTTATATTATTATAATCCTTATAATATCTCAAAATATACCTAAATCATTTTTTATGAGTGAACATGAGCGTCGCCGTTCCACCTCTTCCCGTCGTGCCGCCTCCAACTCACGATGCAACTCGAATGCGCAAATTGCTGTCAATGCTGACGCCAATGATGATGAGGGACATGTGCAAACACTTCCGTCTCAACACCGTGATGCACATGTGAGCACCTCGCATGGCGAAGCAACAACCTCCCATGGAGGTTCATCTCGCTCAGTATATGCCCCTAGGGCTGGCATTTTGAACCGAAAAACCAAAAACCGAACCGAAAATAACCGAACCGCTTTAGAAAAAAACCGATCCGGACCGAACCGAACGAAATTGGGTCCCAATAATCGGGACCCGAAAAAAAATCGGCTCGGTTTCGGTTTATGTGCACAAAATATCGGTTCGGACCGAACCGAACCGACATTTTTATATTAATAATAATAATTGTTATTTATAATAACAATAATAATTAATGACGTTTAATAAAGGTATAATACTAAATCGAGCATGATTTGAACAAAATTGAAGAGTAGTCGAATTTGTTAGCCAGCGTTTGTTGTCTTCCGTAGGTCACGTATTCGATTCCCGCTGTTTTAAGTTTTGTTTTTTCAGCTTCTTTTCCTATTCTCTTTAATCTTGTCCCACACCGGAAAATGAGAAGCTTCCTACTCCAAAACTTCAATATAAATAAGGTCCCCTTAGTGTAGAATGCCAAGATATGTTCTTGAAAGCTAAGTTAAGTTATGGGCTTCCATTGGGCTAATTGGGCTCAAATATTGGCAGGTTCCAATGAGCTTTAATCAATTGAATATGGGAATTTTTCTCAAATAGACCACAAACCAAAAATAATATCACTTTTATCACATGTTAAAATTCTTTTCAAAAATAGATCAACTGAACTCCCTTTTTAAAAAATAGACCATATATCTACCTAAAATCAACCCACTGGAATATACGTAGTACGCTATGCGTTCCAACCCACTAGAATATACGTAGCATTAAGTACGTTGTACGCTCCAAAGAATACTCAATTCATGTCAAATTTATACAAACTACAAGAATACTCAATTCATGTTTTAAGTAGAAAAAGCTAATATTGAGTACAATGTAAAAAAGATGAATATAGTTAGAAAATGGTGAGAATATTAAAAATACGATAAAATTGAAAATAATAAAATAATCAAATTAATAAAAATTCAAATAATGCATAGTAAAAAACCAAAGTTGAAAAATTCAAATAATGCATTAGTTAAGAAAAATGCAATTTTGAAAAACTTAATAAAATCAAATAATGCAATTTAATTTTAAAAAGTTTATTAGAAAAATGTTAAGAAATGTATAGAGGATTTGAAAAAAAAAAACTCAAAACTAAAAACGGAAAAGATTTAAAATAATTTATAAAGTGGAAAACTTTTAGAAAAACAACAATTTTTTGTAATGTGAAATTTTTAGAAGTCTTCATATGCCCATTAATTTGTATAAAAGTACATACAGAACAATCAGAATTATAAATTATTTTAAATAAAATTAATAGAAAAACAAAAATGAAATACATAACTAAAAAAGAAAAATCAAAACCTTTCTCAAAAGTAGTTAAATAAAATTGAACTAAGAAATATCTAGAATCTTAAAAAATAATTAAAAATTATAAAAAATGTTTTTGAATACATTAAGAAATATGAAACATAACTAGAAACTTTTACGAAGTATAAAACAGTTATTATTTCAGAAACTGAAATGTATACAAACAAAAAAAATCCAAATTCAATAAATACATATGGAGTACATAACTTTGAAAAAGTTAAAAAAAAATAAAATTTCTAAATGTATAAATAAAATATAAATAGAAATTGTTTTTTAAAAGAATTGAAGAGCACAGAATTTAATTAAACCAAAAGGCATGAAAAATTAAAAACTTAAAAATAAAAATATGAAAAGTGAAACAAATTTAAGCATTGATACGATTGAAAAAGTTTAAAAATATGAATCTTGTAATTTTTTTAAAATTTTTACAAATTTTTTAAAATGCATAGTATATAAATTGTTTGTTTGTTTTATGTTGCTATTATTCCTTTTTGTTTCCTTTTGTTGATAACTCTGTTTTTTTTGTTTTTTTTGTTTCTTTATGTTTCTTGTTGTTGGTTGATAATCATAAATCCTAATTTATAATTTTAAGTGATTGAATATAAATTTATATATCATTTTTTAGTTTAAAACAGAAGCAAAGATAAACACAGATCTAAATAAGCAATAAAAAATCAAATTCATGTGTAAACAACAATAAACAACATTATGCAACAAAAAGTAATATCATGCAACAAAAAGCAACATGATGCAACAAAAAACAAATTTAAGCACAACATTTAATAAAACCAAAACGCATGAAAAATACAAAACTCAAAACTAAAAATATGAAAAGTGAAACAAATTTAAGCATTGAAACGATTGAAAAGGTTTAAAAATATGAATCTTGTTATTTTTTTAAATTGTTACAAATTTTTAAAAATGCAGTATATAAATTTGTTGTTTGTTTTTGTTGCTATTATTTCTTTTTGTTTCCTTTTGTTGATAACTCTGTTTTTTTTGTATCTTTATGTTTCTTGTGGTTGGTTGATATTCATAAATCCTAATTTATAATTTTAAGTGATTGAATATAAATTTATATATCATTGTTTTACTTTAAAACAGTAGCAAAGATAAGTATATATCTAAATAAGCAATAAAAAAATCAAATTCATGTGTAAACAACAATAAACAACATTATGCAACAAAAAGCAATATCATGCAACAAAAAGCAACACGATACAACAAAAAGTAACATACACAATGCAACAAAAAGAAACAAAAAATTACATATAAAAGTGTCACAAGAAATATATAATTCAAGCTATTCTTGCAATGCCAAGAAAGGATTGATCGTTCCAAATGTACATCAACAATAGACAAGCAGTTACGGGAATGTTGCGGGCGTGTCACATCAATAGCTGGGTGGAAACTAATCTGACAATGTTGTATTGACTCATGAAAGTGTCTCTTCAAAGTGCTTCACTTCAGTTGGATCAAGGACGGTCTTCAATCTCGGCCACAACAATAAATGTCGCAACCACAACCTAGAACACTACAGCCACCGTTAGAGTTGCATCAGTTGTCAAATACTTTAGAGCGTCAAATGCAGTTAGCAAAGGTTTCAAAATCGTAATCATTTATTTCAATATGACGTGATAGATCAACAAAATTAATAAAAACAAATGTCTATAGAAAAATAAATGTGGAGGGCATTTGAAAAGAAATTATTATTCAAGGAACAAAATGAATTTATGGTATGATGCATAGATGCGCCGCAAATGCAAAACATTGAAAGGATTTCAAGTTGTATAATGAAAAAACATTGAATCAGATAATGCATCCAACAAAAGGTAAATTGTTAATGCTAAACACAAAGAACAAACAACTGCTCAAAACTTCAAGCACATGATAATTGTGATAAATGCTAATTTTTTATGAACTTAAGATTTCGTTCGTTTAGTTCAACAACTAAAAACCCAAAAAGAAAAACAAGGATCTTAGGTTCTAATCCACAGTCAAAGGCTCAAGAAAAAAGCATGAACTAAAATTAATGACTAGACTTCAATCACATATCAAATGTGACTAGTGCAAGTACTTCTATAAAATTAAGATTGCATTATTTCAGTTTAAAAAAAAAAAGCTCTTAGGTTTTAATTCATGGTCAAAGGCTCAAAGCAAAAAATTTAGGCTGAAACTAAAAATAAAAAATGAAAGTCTCAAACAGAAAAATTATAAACAAGAAATAAAGGCTAAACTAGAAATCTAGAATAGAACTTACCTAATCGAATTGAAGTTAGCTAAGCATGAAGTTGGCCAATGTATTCTAAGCTCTAACAATAAAATGTTGCTTTAGAGGAGTTTGTTCCTCCCGATGCAAGTTGATCTTCTTCACCTACTATTGCACCTCTCTGCTTCTTCTTCTTCTTCTTCTTCTTAGACTTCTGGATTTCCTGTATTTCATCCTCTTGACATGCTTTTTCCATTCCCTCCTATGCTTTTAACTAAAACAACATTGCAACAAGTGCATATCATACGCAAAACAACCCAGACTTATAGCTTATTCAGTAGGTACCAGAATGGATGAAGAACGGAAGTTATTCACTTTATAACATTGTTTAGTAATCTGCTTAGTGAGATTAGAGCAACTTTTCCCTGGTTTGAGTGAATTGATGTGATTCAACACTTTCTTAATCTCCAAATTATCGATAACCGAATAGCATATATTATATAATTGACTTTGTAGGATGATGGCTAGGGAGGATCTACAATGGAGTTCATCACCTCAAGCAAAGCTATCTGAGGTACATCTCAACCAACTAGATGTAAAGCTGCATAGAATGGAGGACAAAGCGCGGTGCAGCAAGAGACGGAGCGCGGAGCCGCAAGAGACGGAGTGCGGAGGGCAGAGTGCGGAGGGAGGAGCGCGCAATGCGGAGTGCGGAGCTGCACAGGACGAAGGCCAAACGGCGGAGCCGCGGAGGCTGGAGTCGCAACCAGAGTTGGGCAGGAGGAGAGTAATCACTAGCTTCTGCTTCAACAATTCGGGGATTGTGTTTTGACGTAGGATTAGGTTATTTTTGAAATAAAAAAACATAATTGAAAACTGAAAAGATTAAAAATGAAAAGAAGAAATAATGGAGACATAAATGATATGTGGAGCACAAAAGTGGACCTCATGGGTAATTTCCACATTGAATATCAGTTCAAATTTATTTATTACAATTTAGTCGGTTTCTTTCAGTTTCCGGTAAATCGAGCCAAAAAAATCGGGTACCAAAAATCGGTACCTGTTCGTACAACGTTTCGGTTCCGGTTCTGATAATTTGGTAAACCGAAATATCGGTTCGGTTCGGGTATATACCGAATCAGTTCGGAACCCGAACTGAAATCAACCCTATATGCCCCCAACTGAAGTTAAGCACAACAATACCAATGCGCTTCAGTTGACACCACTATCGGTTCATAGGTAATTAAATACTAATTCTCTCTAGTTAGAAAGAACGGAAATCATATTTCTGTAACTTATTATAAATACTTTTATCAATTATTTTGGTTCGGGTATATACCGAATCGGTTCGGAACCCGAATTGAAATCAGCCCTATATGCCCCCAACTGAAGTTAAGCACAACAATACCAATGTGCTTCAGGTGACACCACTATCAGTTCATAGGGTAATTAAATACTAATTCTCTCTAGTTAGAAAGAACGGAAATCATATTTCTGTAACTTATTATAAATACTTTTATCAATTATGATTTTTTTGAAGCGATAATGTGGTGTTGCAAAGAATCAAAAATATAGTTGCTGGTCATTACACTGGACCTTGGTCGACCTACTCGGAGGTTTCGGCCGACACCCGTGAGTTTTGGTGGCGGATGTTCAAGGTAAAAATAAATGACATTTCTCACATTTTAGAAACTTAAATTAAACAAATGATATCAATTTTTTAATGAAGGCCAACATCGATGGCATCCATCGCAAGACGCCGCTATTCTCAAAGAATACAAATCCAGAGTCTCGGGGTGGTTGAGACCCACTTTTAGGACTACCCGGAGTAAGTGTAAAAAGCTGGGATTCCTTGGCGATGATGTCTGGAAGGACCTCGTTCATCATTGGTCTACGGATCCGGATTTTTTGAAGAGAAGCCAATCCGGCAAGGCAAACCGGAACTCCGAGAGAGCCAAAGAGACACAATGGCACAGGGGCCGCAAACCTCAGGATCAACATAAAAAAGATCTTGTAAATTCTACTTCCGTGAAAATCATTTTCATTACATTCCCTCTTATGTATATATATTTCTTTTTAAATAACTTGAAATCTGTGTAGGAAGGGCCAGGACCCTCGAAAAAGAGGGTGTCGCCATGACAACTTATCATAAATTGTTGGAATCCGCACGGTGCTGACTCGTCGTTCCCACCTCGCCTCTCTGAACTTGAAGTAAATAACGCAACTTAAATTATCAATAAATTCCGATTTGTTTATCTTGATTATAATAAACTTTTGAACTTGTAGAAGAAGTACGAGGAAGAGCGATGAAAGAAGGTCATGGAGAGTGGTGATGACTCCGATGCCGATCTTGCTGAGAGTTAAGATGATGATGCTATCTTGGCGGCCACTAGAGTTTACAAGGGCCGGGTGTCGTTCATGGGGGCTGAAGGCATACGGATCTTGCAAAAATCCAAAGGAGCAAGCTCATCTTCTCATCAATTGAATGATGAACAGGATAACGGATTGCCCGCCTTGAGCGACAATTGGCGCAACAATTGGCGGAACGGGGCGGAAGAGAACGGAGAACTAGAGAACAGATGACCGAGTTTTAACGTCAAATGAATCGTTTCAACTCCACCTATCGCCCTACCATGCACATTCAGCAACCCGAGATGACCCCTCAAATTTCCTTCATGGGTGGCATGGGTGGCATGGGCGGCATGGGTAGCATGGGTAGCATGGGCGGCATGGGCAGCATGGGGTTCGGCAATTATAGCCATTTGTCCAATAATTTTCCGTATTCTTATTGTGATCAACCATTTCAAACTCCCGGAGGTTGCGACAGTTGAGCGAGTAGTCGAGCGGGCAGCCAAGCGGGCAACCAAGGAGGTGCCCGTGGCGGCAGGGAACCCGAACAGCCCGAACATCTTGGTGATGATGATAATGATGATGACAATGATGATGATGTCAATCTGGAGTTGTAATAATTAGTTTATTTTAAATTTGAAATTGAATTTTTATTAAATTATTGTTATCGTATGAATTTATAATGATTATTGTTATTAATGTTTAATTAGTATGTGATTGTATGAATTGTTTTTGTAGTATTTAATTATTATACAAAATTTAATTATTATAAAAAATTTAAACGAAGTTTTTAAATTTGAATTTTTATCAAAAAGTGCGCAATTGTTTTTTAATTTTTTTTAAAAATATAAATATTTGTCACGGACTCTGGCCGTGACAAATTTTCAACTTTTTAAACCTTTTCAATTCTTTATTCTAATTATTTCTTAACAAAAAAATATTTTTTTAAATATAAAAATATTTGTCACGGATTAATCCGTGACAAAATGAAAAATATTTGAATTTAAAAAATTCAAGTTACCCGCCTAGCCCATTCGGATATTTCAAAAAAAATCAAAAAAATATTTGTCACGGATTTATGAAAATATTTGAATTCAAAAAATTTCAAGTTACCCGCCTAGCCCATTTTCAGATATTTCAAATAAATTCAAAAAAACATTTGTTATGGATAAATCCGTGACAAAATGAAATATTTTAAAAAAAATAGAAAAACGTTTGTCACGGACGAATCCGTGACAAATAAATACCGGCGTTGCTCCGGTGCCTTGTTTTGTCACATATGGACGCCGTGACAAGTCTGTGACAAAGTTTGTCACAAAATATTGGCCGTGACAAACTTTTTAGTCACGCATTTTGTGCCACGTATAAAACCGTGACAAAGTCCGCAAATTTTTTTTTTGTGATGGATTTTTTGAACTGAAATCCGTTACAAAATCCGTGACAAATTGAAAGTTTTTTTGTAGTGAAGTAGAAAAAAAAAAGAGAACGTAGTTAACATGGGTTAGTCTAATTTAAACATTTGGCAAAACCATGCATGGATAGACAGCAGAGCATGCATAAAAGACAAACCCTTATCATATTTATGTACCTACACTATGTACACTTAGCTATTTCAGTAAACTAAAAAGAAATTTTAATCATTTCACGTTTAAATTTTATTTGGCCCTTTTCAATAACTATAAAGACCATTTAGTCATTTGAGTGGCTGAAACAATTCTACTCAAATCATTTGGAAGAGAGCTAGCATACGTGGGTTGCTGGATTTATTTTTAATAAATTATACCAAGGTTACACACTTGCACACACTCATGCAAGAGCAAACAAAAACTAATTAATTACTCCCTCCGTTCCTAAAAATTCTTCCCGGTTTGACTTGACACGCTTATTAAGAAAGTGGAATAAAGTGGAAATGTATGGTTGTGGTTATGTAAGAAAAAGGTAAAATGAATGTGAGCCACATAAATTGTCTAAAATGGGAAAGTGGGAAGTATTTTTGGGAACAGCCCAAAAAGGAAAGTGGGAAGTATTTTTGGGAACGGAGGGAGTAGATGGTAGGATAAGGATGTTTTTCGTCCCAGACTAGACCAGTTCAGACCAGACCAGACCAGACCAGTTCAGACCAGACCAAATCAGACCAGACTTGAATAGTTATAAAAATACAAAGAAATCAGACCAGACCAGTTCAGACTAGACCAGACCAGACCAGACCAGATCAGACCAGATAAGACCATCAAATTACGGTCCAAGTAAAAACATCCTAAGTGCTCAAACTATGCCATCTTGAAATCTTAAGAGGAAGTCACGTACAGCACAATAATAATGGCATTCCAAATATATATACATCGATCCGCCCAAAAACCTTAGTGTAGGAGATAAAATCATGCCAAGTTATAGAACCAATAAACAAGGTCTAGCTAGAAACGAAAGGAAGACTAAGTACAAGAACAGAAATACAGAATAATGTAAAGATTTGGATTGAGAAGAAGCTAGGCCGAAGGAGAGGATCAAATAAAGAGTCCGAGTATTCAATCCTAACTTCGAAAAGGAAGCTTACTTAGTTACATTCAAATTTCTATAAAATATACTGCGTTGTTTAACTGCGCAGTTATCTTCAAAAATTCATTTGAGTGTCTTTCCGATTGAATATTTAGGTGAAATTTGGTATATATTACTAAACTCGACTTAATGAATTAGATGCTCAAAAAATTTCCTCAAAAAATTCCACTGGAAACCGCCCCAAATGCCGACGGCCGCACAGAGCCTTCTATAAAATAGCTTATTTGCACTTTTTATGTAAGTTCGAGGGTTTTGTTCGATAGTTCTCCCAATATTTTAAAATAGAAATAGAAACATATGAACTATATACGGAGTATATAGTTCATCGACGTATCATAGGTTGTGGTAGAGGCGGAGGGAGGGGAGGTTGCTTGTGGTATGGTGAAGAAGGCCACTTTGATGGCAAGTATATGCCAAAATAGGCTACTGGTCTATTGAGCCAACGATTTAAAAAAAACATTAATCATTAATTATTTACTTAAAAACATTTGTGATCATCAATACTTCACTTATTTTAGAAAAAAATCTAAATAGAAATAAAATATAATACATTTTCAATTAGAATCGATCATCATTATGAAATTTTTATTAATAATCATCATCAATTAGTAAAATGACCTCTTTCCTAATAGTGTAGTATTAATTGTTATTAATTATTAGGCAATATCCTAATTGTATTTGGACACTTATTTCATTATATATATACAATCAGGGTTACCAATCTGGTTAAGTCTGTTTATTACTTTCACATGGTATCAAGAGTCTAGGGTTTTTCAATTTTTTTTTCCCGATCCTATGGCGTCTTCTTCCGCCACTACCGCCGCAGCAGCGCCTCCACTCACGGCAGCGCCGACAGTCGTTCTTCCGTCGTCTTCTTCTACGATGATGGCTCCGGCTTCTCTCTCCTTTGGCGCCAGTTCCTCTGTTTTGCCACCTCTAAGTCCGGTTCCTCCAGCGTTCGAACCGTCTCCTGCCTTCGACTGGTCTTCCCCGCCAGAGCGTCACCGCTCACGGCCGATTGCCGTGGGTTCATTCGAGAGCCAGGATCTCCGTCAACAGTTCGCCGGCCC